TGACAGTAGGGGTCTTACCTTGAACACTACTACTGAGGATAGCCAAAGACACAGAGGTTATAGGTTGGGGGTAGTGGCCCAGGGGGTCTTACCTTATACACTACTACTGAGGACAGCCAGAGACACAGAGGTTATAGGTTGGGGGTAGTGGCTGTGGGGGTCTTACCTTGTACACTACTACTGAAGACAGCCAGACACAGAGGTTATAGGTTGGGGGTAGTGGCTGTGGGGGTCTTACCTTGTACCCTACTACTGAAGACAGCCAGACACAGAGGTTATAGGTTGGGGATAGTGTCAGTAGGGGTCTTACCTTGTACACTACTACTGAGGACAGCCAGACAGAGGTCATAGGTTGGGGAAAGTGACAGAAGGGGTCTTACCTTGTACAATACTACTGAGGACAGCCAGACACAGAGGTTATAGGTTGGGGGTAGTGGCATTGGGAGTCTTACCTTGTACACTACTACTGAGGTCAGCCAGATACACAGAGGTTATAGGTTGGGGGTAGTGACAGTGGGAGTCTTACCTTGTACACTACTACTGAGGACAGCCAGACACAGAGGTTATAGGTTGGGGGTAGTGGGATTGGGAGTCTTACCTTGTACACTACTACTGAGGTCAGTCAGATACACAGAGGTTATAGGTTGGGGGTAGTGACAGTGGTAGTCTTACCTTGTACACTACTACTGAGGACAGCCAGACACAGAAATTATAGGTTGTGGGTAGTGACAGTGGGAGTCTTACCTTGAACAGTGTACATGCACTACTACTGTGGACAGCCAGAAACAGAGGCTATAGGTTTGGGGTAGTGACAGTGGGAGTCTTACCTTGTACACTACTACTGAGGACAGCCAGACACAGAAATTATAGGTTGGGGGTAGTGACAGTGGGAGTCTTACCTTGTACACTACTACTGCAGGACAGCCAGACACAGAGGTTATAGGTTAGGAGTAGTGACAGTAGGGGTCTTACCTTGTACATTACAACTGAGGACAGCCAGACACAGTAGTGACAGTAAGGGTCTTACCTTGTGCGCTACTACTGAGGACAGCCAGAAGAGGTTATAGGTTGGGGGTAATGACAGTAGGGGTCTTACCTTGAACACTACTGCTGAGGATAGCCAGAGACAAAGAGGTTATAGGTTGGGGGTAATGACAGTATGGGTCTTGCCTTGTACAATACTGCTGAGGACAGCCAGACACAGAGTTTATAGGTTGGGGGTAGTGGCAGTAGGGGTCTTACCTTGTACCCTACTACTGCAGGACAGCCGGACACAGAGGTTATAGGTTTGGGGTAGTGACAGTAGGGGGCTTACCTTGTACAATACTACACTACTGAGGACAGCCAGAAGAGGTTATAGGTTGGGGGTAATGACAGTAGGGGTCTTACCTTGTACAATACTACTGAGGACAGCCAGAAGAGGTTATAGGTTGGGGGTAATGACAGTATGGGTCTTGCCTTGTACAATACTGCTGAGGACAGCCAGATACAGAGGTTATAGGTTGGGAGTAGTGACAGTGGGGGTCTTACCTTGCACACTACTACTGAGGACAGTCAGACACAGAGGTTATAGGTGGGGAGTAGTGACAGTGAGAGTCTTACCTTGAGAGGTTATAGGTTGGGGGTAGTACCTTGTACACTACTACTTAGGACAGCCAGACACAGAGTCTTACCTTGTACAATACTACTGAGGACAGCCAGATACACAGAGGTTATAGGTTGAGGGTAGTGACAGTGGGAGTTTTCCCGTGTACTCTACTACTGAGGACCGCCAGACACAGAAATTATAGTTTGGGGGTAGTGACAGTGGTAGTCTTACCTTGTACACTACTACGGAGGACAGCCAGAAACACAGAGGTTATAGGTTGGTGATAGTGACAGTAGGTGTCTTACCCTGTACACTACTACTGATGACAGCCAGACACAGAGGTTAAAGGTTGGGGAAAGTGACAGAAGGGGGCTTACCTTGTACACTACTACGGAGGACAGCCAGACACAGAAATTATAGGTTGGGGGTAGTGGCTGTGGGGGTCTTACCTTGTACAATACTACACTACTGAGGACAGCCAGATACAGAGGTTATAGGTTGGGAGTAGTGACAGTGAGAGTCTTACCTTGAGAGGTTATAGGTTGGGGGTAATGACAGTAGGGGTCTTACCTTTTACACTACTACTGAGGACAGTCAGACACAGAGGTTATAGGTGGGGGGTAGTGGCAGTGGGGGTCTTACCTTGCACACTACTACTGAGGACAGTCAGACACAGAGGTTATAAGTTGGGGGTAGTGACAGTGGGGGTCTTACCTTGCACACTACTACTGAGGACAGTCAGACACAGAGGTTATAGGTCGGGGGTAGTGACAGTGGGAGCCTTACCTTGTACACTACTGCTGAGGACAGCCAGACACAAAGGTTATAGGTTGGGGATAGTGCGAGTAGGGACAGGAGGGGTCTTACCTTGTACATTACAACTGAGGACAGCCAGACACAGGGGTTATAGGTTGGGAGTAGTGACAGTGAGAGTCTTACCTTGAGAGGTTATAGGTTGGGGGTAATGACAGTAGGGGTCTTACCTTGTACATTACAACTGAGGACAGCCAGACACAGGGGTTATAGGTTGGGAGTAGTAACAGTGGGAGTCTTACCTTGTTCATTACTACTGCAGGACAGCCAGACGCAGAGGTTATAGGTTGGGAGTAGTGACAGTGGGAGTGGTAGTGACAGAGGGAGTCTTACCTTGTTCATTACTACTGCAGGACAGCCAGACGCAGAGGTTATAGGTTGGGGGTAGTGGCAGTAGGGGTCTTACCTTGTACCCTACTACTGAGGACAGCCAGAAACACAGAGTTTATAGTTGGGGGTAGTGACAGTGGGAGTCTTCCCTTGTACACTACTACGGAGGACAGCCAGAGACACAGAGGTTATAGGTTGGTGATAGTGACAATAGGGGTCTTACCCTGTACACTACTACTGAGGACGGCCAGACACAGAGGTTATAGGTTGAGGGTAGTGACAGTGGGAGTCTTATCTTGTACACTACTACGAAGGACAGCCAGACACAGAGATTATAGGTTGGGGGTAGTGGCAGTGGGCGTCTTACCTTGTACAATACTACACTACTGAGGACAGCCAGAAACAGAGGCTATAGGTTGGGGGTAGTGACTGTGGGAGTCTTACCTTGTACCCTACTACTGCAGGACAGCCGGACACAGAGGTTATAGGTTTGGGGTAGTGACAGTAGGGGGCTTACCTTGTACAATACTACTGAGGACAGCCAGAGACAGAGGTTATAGGTTGGGGAAAGTAACAGTAGGGGTCTTACCTTTTACACTACTACTGAGGACACCCAGACACAGAGGTTATAGGTGGGGGGTAGTGGCAGTGGGGGTCTTACCTTGTACACTACTACTGATATCAGCCAGATACACAGAGGTTATAGGTTGGGGGTAGTGACAGTTGGGGTCTTACCTTGTACACTACTACTGAGGACAGCCAGACACAGAGGTTATAGGTTGGGGGTAGTGGCAGTGGGGGGCTTACCTTGTACACTACTACTGATATCAGCCAGATACACAACCTTGTACACTACTACTGAGGACAGCCAGACACAGAGGGTTTAGGTTGGTGATAGTGACAGTAGGGGTCTTACCCTGTACACTACTACTGAGGACAGCCAGACACAGAGGTTATAGGTTGGGGGTAGTGACAGTAGGGGTCTTACCTTGTACACTACTACTGAGGATAGCCAGAGACACAGAGGTTATAGGTTGGGGGTAGTGGCCCAGGGGGTCTTACCTTATACACTACTACTGAGGACAGCCAGAGACACAGAGGTTATAGGTTAGGGGTAGTGGCTGTGGGGGTCTTACCTTGTACACTACTACGGAGGACAGCCAGAGACACAGAGGTTATAGGTTGGGGGTAGTGGCTGTGGGGGTCTTACCTTGTACACTACTACGGAGGACAGCCAGACACAGAGTTTATAGGTTGGGGGTAGTGACAGTGTGGACCTGACTTTGTACACTACTACTGAGGACAACCAGACACAGAGGTTATAGGTTGGGGGTAGTGACAGTAGGGGTCTTACCTTGTACATTACTACTGAGGACAGCAAGAGACACAGAGGTTACAGGTTTTGGGTAGTGACAGACATCACCTTCCACGTCTTCCTCGGTAACCACCTCAACCCAGTTCACCAATGTATCAGGACTTACAGATGATTTTATGTTCTATGAAAATTAAATATTATTTAGGCATTGATCATAACATCACAATGGTAAAAATAATTGCCTCCAGTCAAAAAATGAAGGGACAAAAATGTTACAGGTTCAAGGGTAGTTGACGGGCTAAATGGAGACATCAAATTGAAACCAATTCTTGAAGAAAAATAATTTTATGTTTTCCCGAATTTCTCTCAAATCTCGAATTTAAAAAAAATATATACATGTTTTAATGCAACTTTCAAATTAATAATCTGTCATCAATAAGGATGTGTAAGCCTTTTAGTTAGTACAATATGTACTTGGTTAAAAAATCAGTACATTTGGATAGGTCTGGAAATCCTCAATATTTTCCTTCTTTTTTTTGGTCAATATTCATAACTGAAAATTAATCTTAGACAAATCAAATTCACTGGTGAGAAAGGATTAAATTTACTTTGATAATTATAACTGACTTAAAAACCTACAAGTTACCTTGATGACAATGACACTATGTCTGTCTATAGCACCAAGAGCTATGTCCGTCAATACCTCTGTCAGTTTGGCCATGCTGCAGGGTCACCCAGCTTAATCTGCAAAAATAACAATACAACACTCAATACAATAACAATGTACTGGTATGATAGAACTGTAGGTGAATCACAGTAAACGTCTGCTTGCTGACATTCCATTAACCACAATCATTTCCAGAGGAAAAGCTGTTGATAGGCAACTGCGCATGCCTACACATGAACTTTGATAAATAAGTTCAGACCGGGTATCACAATACAATGATCTGGAGTTTGCACAAATAATCAAGAGTCTGAAGGTTTTGAAAAATTAACATAGACAATGGTCAATGTTTCTGTTCTTTCACTACATTGTACTACTATCAAGACTATTCATTACTTCACATACATGTCAGTGTGAAATTTGAACGTATTTGATGCGTCATTTAACTCTTTAATTATACTGTATTTTTTTCGGTAAGATTTAATTACCATTGTATTACTTCTAACAAGTTTTTTGTACTCTCATGATCTATTTTACAGTTAGTTCTGATTGGCGACATTTAGTGAAGACTTCGGAGTAATACCGAATGAAGTATACATACTGTCTTCATAGAATTCGCGCAAATGCTGCAATGTTTGGATAGGATTTGTCACTTTTGGACACGATAAAAAAATATGGAGACGAAAAAATATTGAGCAAAATCAACACGGATTAACAGATATGCACACTTATGAACTAAAAATAGCTAAAATATAGACCAATTTCTAATTAACTTTCCAAAATGCTTCCAATCAGCTTTACAAACTTTGATTTTGACTCTGCATTATTTGAGCTAGCTCAGAGTTCATTGTATTGGAATTGGATTCCACAACACTTATTTTAATGTGTCCAATTCTTTGTGAAAGAAATGGTTCATTCAGGAGAGCTATCCTCTAATACTTCCACTCCAAAGTTTTGAATGTTGTCAATCATCAAGAAAAAAATGTGATACATGGAATAAAATACATGTTGAAACAAGGTGTCAGACATATATAATTAACCATCTAGACAGGAATGTTCGAGAGAGGAAGTGTAGCAATTAATTTTGAAAAACAATTCCTTGTGACATAGAAACTTCGAACTACGATTTACCTCAAAACTGAACTTCCTGTAAAAAGTTTAACTGCTATATTATATGTGCAGGTTCTTCAAATTAAGGTACTTTACACTGAGCAGGTTTTTTTTGTACATGTACATACGAGTACTAGTCAAAGCTGCCATTTCAAACTCAACATCAGTGTCAGGGACAGAATCACTTTGATTGGAAAAGATTTTAAAATTGAATTTACTGGAGCACATACATGTACAGTTTATAAAAATTGAGATATGGGCTGTTTTTATTTATCGCTTTCCAAATGTTTCAATGGCAGCTTATATATATATTATAATATTAGGATCTTCGACAAAATCCCTCGAGTGATATGACAGCATACTTACTCAAAAGTATTTCACACTGTATTCGTAACTCGTCATATCGATATGTTTTTAAAAATCCTTTCTGGATTTACTTTCACTTTCTCTTCCTCTGTTCTTTGGATATTCGTATGACATTTATAACCGTTCTTCCTTGTTAGACTGCTGGTTCGACGATGGACACACGCGTACGGTAGTCTACATTTTAACGTCCTGTTTAGTCGAGATGTTCTCACTTTTTAAATAATTCAAAAACAAGGCAATACTTTCAGAAATACTTCCCTAAACTATGAGAGTTCACTTCCTTTGCTGGAAAAGCTGGTGACACAGTACTTTCGGTTTAATAAATCGCGCTCATGTTAATGCTTTCAGAACGTTATGACTTACAAACGTTCAGTTAACACCGACATTTTTTAGGTTGGCATTCGTTATGGTTGTAGATGTTAATGATGAGCCTTATAGCTTCTTAGGGCGCATTTTGATACAATTAAAAAATTGATTGTATTTACATGTACACTTCGAATTCCGGTGCGCTTGAATTACCGTGCTAAATTAGACTAGTTAGTTTGTTATTAGGATTTATTAGGAATTGTAATGGACGCAGGCTTTCCGGCATATAATAAAAGTTACAATTACACAGTTTTACGTAAGTATGTATATATGTAGTATAATGTACATATATAATAAACTTAGGCTTTCTGATGTTGAGCAGTATTTGACGTTTAACCAGTAACATTCTAATTACAGAGTCATGGCATAAGCCTTCACGAGTTACTTCCCCTTACATTGACAAACTAAAATCCATGTAATTTAATAAGTGCATTGCAATAATTTAGACTCGTGCGACCGAACAAAAGTTTTACATATAATTAAGTGATGGCATTAACTGTATAAATCAGACTATATTTTTTTTATAAAAGGTCACTTAACGAATTGCAAGGCGCGCGAAAACCTTGCTGGACACTGGCCACTCACTCTGGGGATCCTCAAATGATACAAAACAAAAAATCCCTAGTTAGGTGATTGCATTTTACTGTATAAATCAGATTTTTTTAAACAAAAAGTTGATTAACGAATTGCTGGGCGCGCGAAACCACGTGATTTCGATGTATTTGATGACATATTTTCCGGGATGTAAAGAACATGAGTGAGCGTAACCACCAGAACCTTGGGGATGTGTTTCATTGTTTGATATTTCTTCGACATCATAACAGAAGCCCAAAGTTACCTATTCTTGCAGATTAGCATAGCAAGGCGAGGACAAAAACGTGCGTGAAGTCGACCAATTAAAGGAATTATGATTAAAGCCAACAAATCAACGCAAAGAGCCTGAAAGAATGCAAGGAAACCAAGAGATGGAGTACTGCACTTAACCAGAATGTCTACCAAGGAAACACTGCAGAGACAACAAAAGATCGAGAAAACTTCGAGGCGTTAACAATAAGAGGCCCAGAGGGCCTGTATCACCTGAATAATAACGAAACCATGGGAAATTATTCTTATTACAAAAAAAATCCCTCCAATGGTACAGAAGAAAAAGGATTTTAAATATTTAAACCTCAAATTCCCCTAATGGGCCCCGCAACTCTGCACCCAGAGGGGCCACACTCTCCATCTATATAAAATTAAGTCCTCTTTCCCCAAGGATGTTCCAGGCGAAAGGTGGGGTTCTTAATCTGCCCACGCATGGATTTTATTCAAACTTTGCAATTTTAATGTTCAAATACAAAAAATAACACATTCTCTCACACTCACAACCACACGTTCAAACCAGCACTTGGTCATCATCCTTCGCCTGATTTCATCATCATCATCATCATCATCATCATCATCATCATCAATCATCCTCATACACAATCAGTATCGCCATCTACACATTCAATCCATCATCATCATATGACATCATCTTACATCATCATCAACAACATACCAGCGTCATCAACAATGTATGACCATCATCATCATATACCATCATCTTCCATCATCATCATCAACATTTCATTGTCATCAGGTGTCCCTGTGTCCTAGTCTAGCTAGTGCGCTGATCATTGTAGATTGGCCTCCTCTTTAGCTGCTATGGGACGATGGGTTATTGATACAGAAGTACATAAATAAACCAAACACTGATTGTTTTCTGCCAGAATGCAATACGCGTAGTAGGCAAATTNATGGGTTATTGATACAGAAGTACATAAATAAACCAAACACTGATTGTTTTCTGCCAGAATGCAATACGCGTAGTAGGCAAATTAAGGTAGGATAACAAAATCTGTCTATTTGCCCTAAAAATCCCTCCTCCCCGCCTCTTCAAAAGGAAGTAACATGCATTCATTTGACAAAATGCATGTCAGGCCCTGTGTGGCCTTTCGTTTTGCATGATTTCGAATAAAACTTACTGTTTCTGTTCAGCCATGGTATGATTAAAGTTCTTGTAACGTTTCATGAAAGTCCGTGCGTAGGCAGGGTATACATGTATGGGAATTTAAACATAGGCAAGAGCCCCACCTTTGGATGAGAATCACTCTAATGGTACAGAAGGAGAAGGATTTTAAAGATTTAAACCTCAAATTTCCATTTTGAGCCCCGCTCCTCTGACCCCAGAGGGGCCATACCCATCGTTAAAACAAAATCAAGACTCCTTTGCCTAAGGATGCTCCAGACCAAATTAGGATAAAATCCCTCAAAATGTACAGAAGGAGACGGTTTATAAAGATTTAAACCCAAAATTTCCTTTTTGAGCAACGCCCTCTGCACCCAAAGGGGCCACACCTACCGTTCATACAAGATCGAGTCCTCTTGGCCCAAGGAAGCTCCAGACAAAATAAGGATAAAATCCCTTTATCCCTACGATAGGAGAAGGATTTCAAAGATTTTACCTCTATTTTCCCTATTGGGTCAAGCGCCTCTGCCCCCAGGGGCCCAAACCCACCATTAATACAAAATTGAGTCCCTTTGATCGGAGGATGCTCCAGACCAAATTGGGATGAAATCTCTTAATCCCTGTGGTAGAAGAAGGATTTTCAAGGTTTTCCTCTATTTCCCCTATTGTGCCCCGCTCCTATGCCCCCAGGGGGGCCACACCCACCGTTTATACAAAAGTGAGTTCCCTTGACCTACGGACGGACGGACGACGGACGCTGCGGTACAGCATACGCTCATCATGGTCCTTCGGATCAGGTGAACTTAAAATCAGCCGACATCATCAAGGCTTATTCGGGTAGCCATAGCACTTCATACAGTCGGTGAACAAAAATTCCTCGACTACCTTTCTATTCTAACTGAACTCGCTGTAGCAGACAAGAACTATTTTAGGTTCAGGAAGATCTTTTGGAAAGATGGTTCACCTTTCTTACTGACCATACCCCTTGCAGTTGACAAAGGTTACTCAGATATAGACCGCCGTAAGTTTGATGAGGACAACTTTGAACACATTATGTCCATTTCTTGGTCCCACCCCTCTGCCCCATTTCTGATATTGAAATTGGTGAACTCATAACTTTCCATGATCCATTGCCACTGACTAGGGACAATGCCCCGACCACTTCAGCATCACGACCAAACCCAATACACCGGAGATTACTTAACACACCATCACCTCACTGGCACATTGTTTTCCAAGAGAACGAGTTCATCCTGTTTGAATCAAGAAAGCTTACACATAATATCAAGTTACCGAGGCATCACAGAGCTTCCCTTAACCTTGATGTGATTTAGCCGGTCTAAAGTGATCGTAATAGAGTGCTGTTCTTAACCCAAGAAAGTCCCATAGAACGTGGTTTTACTAAGTAATTTAAGTGGTGCAACTTCAGGTAGGGCTTATCCTCTAATAAGGCATCCTGGAAACCGTAACAACCACACACAAGCCAGTGGTAGCATTGGTAGATGCTAAAACTGCATTTTATACATCTAAAACAGAAATATCTTTGTTGTAAGAAATCGAAGGGAAAACGTCGGAGATATACATAGCATCAACAAAGATGCATACACTCGCTTGAAGTGGCAAGGCAAATACTCAGAACCAGTATGCAATGCACATGTATACAAAACATTCATCAACAGATTTCTGACAGATATACACAGTACGGCATCAGTAGGTATTTCTCTCTAAGTGTGCGGATGGTGTCTCCCTCATCAGTGCTATCAACCTCCAGGTACAAACTCTAATCAGCATTTTTTTTCAGATTATACATCGCGTCAGCGTTTTTAGTCTACAACTCCATTTTTTTTGTTAGGTTCAAATTGGATTTTATTCCCCCGGCATCCTTTGGGAGGGATGCCAGGGTTGGGGTGCCCGGGTTCATCCCTCTTACATACTGCAATCTTAAGCAGGAGGCCTCTTTCCCTTCATTCTCTTTTTCTTTTTCATTTCTTCTCTGAAACTCCAGTTATGTTACCAGCTATGGCAAAACCTGCTTCGTCAGAGGTTGATGAGCCATTCAACTACAGAGGCAACCAAGTGCCCCATGAGGAAGATGCTACTAATTAGTAAGGCACCGTTTACATCCAAGACCATAAGAAGAAAGCCTCTGTAACTTATAATCTCTGTAAAAGGAAAGGGGGCTTTCTACAGTTTAATGAGGACAGACTTACATGGGAAGAGTGGCCTCAATCCTAATATACATATCTACCTTATCATGGCCTATCTAGCACCGATATATACTTATTGGCTGGAGGTCTTCTTTTAACTGACAATGAACAATATCTGGGAAACAGAGTTTAGGAAACCCTACGGCAGGTCGTATCTATGTCTGGCAGCTGTGACAATGGGGTAGTTTACCTACTTGGGGGCACAACCCCACTTACTGGTCTCATTCAGGGGAAGCCATAACTCTATTTGACATGATAAGACTTGAAGAGTTGTTTAGGGTTTAGCAAATAGACAGCTACTTTTGTGTGAATTATCCAAATCCCAGAGTAAGTTTGCGGGAATTCATAGACTATTGTTTAGATACAACATGCCCTTTGTTCACCCTACTTGAACATCCACCAAAAGTGGGAACCTGGAAATATACCGTAAGGAAATCAATTAATGAATATTGGGTCAGCGTAATCTGTACTCAAGCGGATCTGTACCCATCTATGCGTAGCACCAACTTTACCCATTACTCCTCCCAATACTGAGTTTAATGGGGACAACCAATAGAGCCTTTGGACGTCCCCGTATCAAGCTTAAACATATACCTGGCACAGACACTCTCCATTCTACACGTGCAGCGTTTAATCAGACGCCTGTTGATCTAACAGATGTAATACTCAATGGAAAACGATCACTTACGCTCTCTACACACCTGGAATTTGTCAAGAAAAAACGAAGGCTCAGTGTG